CTTGCCTTGGGGGAATCCTCCCTGTAGACAATTCAGGTTGTTTACAAACAGAGGATGTAGAAACTGTAGCCAGATTCCCACAGATTTCCTGAATTAAGTCCATGGGCACTGCAACACCCCTCAAAGGCTATGCAGTACTGAGTCCTCGTTAGCTTTCAGAGCAAAATGTAAAGATCCAGATATTTAAAATGTAGCTGATAAAAATTAGTCACCAATTCAACATTTGTGTAACTTCACTGAGGCTACTTAAATTACAGCAGGGGTGAATTTTAGCCCTAGGTGACTCAATAAGTCCTTGAAATATTTTTAAATTGGTTAGGTCTGAGATAATGTTCCTAGGAGAAATAAAACACTAGAGTAATTTTTAAAGGTCATTTAAGGAAAATGGCCATCTGCATCATAACTGAATGAATAAAAAGACATCACAGGAGTTTTCTGAGAGTGTATTAATTAGTGGTGACATTGCACTGGAACCATCATATACAGCTTACGCTGCTAGCATTATAAGTATCTAAGAACTGTCTAAGATTCAGGAATAGCTCTCACAAAAAGACAGAAATAGAATAAAAACCTTTAGTTTCCTAAACTAATTCTCTCATGAATTCAAGTGCTGCAGGCTATCAATGTGCATCACTGGTGCCTAGCTAGTATATTTTTTTCTATGTAAATGGCCCTGGTTTGATAATAAATTCCCTTGCAGCTTGAGAGACAGAAAATCCTGTTTGTTAGAGCTTCAGGCTAGTTCGAACTAAGCTACTATCATGTGAAAGAGTAAATCACACAGGGCCAACCCGAGTAGTATCTCACTCTTCAAGTAAGACCCAGCCAAGGATCCAACACAGAGTCGATACGTATTGAGGGCAGTCAATAGGTTCCTAAAGATTTTGCTTCTGTGTTAAAGTCCATGGGCCCTACAGGAGCCCACCAGAAGTTATACAGCACTGAGTGCATATGGAGGCAACTCATTGCCATTATATCTGAGGGCCTTCCATCCATTTTAGTCTCACAAAACCTTTGAGAAGGAGAGAACTATTATTCCAGTTTTAAGATGGGAATGTGAAGCACAGAGACATTTATAACCAGGGTGACCATATGTCCCAGGAAACAGGGAGACTCAACTTCTGTAGCCCAGTCCCAGCTGGTTGGTCAAAAGTCCCAGAGCAGAGTCCAGCAGGGAAGTAGAGCGGCACAGTGCAACAGGTAAGTGGGTGGGCAGGCACTGCTGCGGCTGGCCGGGGGGAAGGCAGGCAGATTGGAGCAGGGTGGCGGGCTACGGCAGCCATGAGTGTCCCGGTTTGCCCAAGACATACGGTCACCCTACTTATAGCTCATCACTCCCTCTTTGGTGCAGTAGCAGACAGTACCATAACAAGACACATGACACCTACACCACTATCTCTTATATCAGAACTAATGAAATCCCCATAGGGCAGAGATATGTGCAAGGCCATAAGTTCTGCTGAGCAACAGAGCAGTGGTGGCAACACCACTCCTCACTAACGCAGCCATGAACAGAACAGAAAATCAGAGAAAAGGTGGGAAGAGATGCAGCCTCTGGAGAAATCAAGGATTTTCAATTTTTGCTTTATCTGATAAAAGTTACTTAGCTCTATCAGAGGAGCCCAGGCTATAATTTTAAAACTTGTGGTCGTACCAGCCAGTCACAACTGAGGGAAGACACTGACCCATGGGATTTACTTCATGTGAATTGCAGGGAAATCTTAACACATAAGATAAATAGCACAGATAAATACCAGACCATTGGTATTCCTCCTAACTTGTCCACAACTTTGTCTATCTAAGATGACCTCTGGACTTACTGGTTTTAAATTCAATAGGCCACCGGTAATCTTTCCTGGCCTGAGCTGAAAATTATGGGCTGACAAACTGGAAGCGACCACTGGCTAGGGACTGAGCCCACAGCACTGAGGTCAAATAATGGATGGGGGTCTTAGCTGCCTGTTAAAAAAATGTAAGGAAGCAGAAGTGCCAGCAAAAGAGTTCACAACCTCAAATCCTTTCATTGTTACTCAGCTACCACAGGCCTCTGTGGAATACTTCAAAACCCTATCTGTCGGGTACTTCCTGATTAAAAGAACTGGCAGCCTCTTCCTTTTTGGGAGGGCCACATGCCAGTCATCTGCTGTCCTGCTATAGCCAAGGGCACTGCACTATAGCAAAATGTTACTAGTGAAGGGAATCTACATTCTTTTCTTGACTACTTTTGCTTGTCCTTCCCTACAGAGAAGCTATCCAAATAACTGCTGGAATCTAAAAGACTTAGAAAAGGGACTGGAAACTGGCCCTTTCACTAATAGCATTTAAAGGACTTAGCACACAGATCCCTGGAGAATAAAGCCCGTGACAGGGATTTTAGATCTTAAACATCACCTCCATTTATCTTACTAGAGTGGAGTTTATTATACGTGTCTCAGACCTCTTGCTCTTACTCTGACAAAACTCAGTGTGAATAGTTTTCCCTACGGGGTTGGATTCACTGCAGGGTTCTTTCCCCAAGGTGCAGAAAATCATCTGGGCCTACCCAATAAAGTGAATTATGGGAAATGAGGCTTAGAGTTCATGCAAGTTATTTTTCACCTGGAAATCAGCAGAAGCAAAGCATTCATGGTAGCTACTTTTGCTATTTAATAGGGGCAGAGACTACCTCTCTCCTTGCCATATCTCAAAAATAAAAATAATTCTTGTTTCATTTAGCTTTGGTTCACTTGAGTCTTCCATGGAAAAGGTCAGAGCCTCTCCTGGGAAGGCAGCCACACAGGCTGAGAAGCACACCAGTACTCGGCTTTTCTTTCAAGTTGAAAATAGTACAACATAAATACAAAATGAGATACCACATTTCTTCATTCATATCATGATTGTTGTGTTGCAAGTCAAATTGGACATAGGGTGCCATAAAATACCTATGAAAACTTGCATGTATAAATTCAGTTACCTGTATTGGATAGCATTCCCAAACCCTGTCTTTTGTTGTTCTGTTCTATTTTGGCAGGGAGGGTTTCAATTTCAGAAATGTTTGGGGAAACTCCAACACAAAAATGTGTGTTTGTATATAAATGCTTTATTTTGCCATTTATTTATACTTCAAACCTGGGCAAAAACAATCCCATTCAACTAATCAGTCATCTGCAAGAGCTTGTATTGAATAAAGAGTAGCTGACTTCTGTTTGCTTAAAGCATTGCTCAGACAATTGCAAATGCTGAACTAGTAATGTTATAGTATGGTTCCCAGGTTGTAAGCTCTTCAAGGCAGGTCTCTCTCTGCCCACCACAGCAAGGTCCTCATCCTGAATGGGGTCTCAGCATGCCCTGTAACATATATGGCTGTTAATAACAACTCTAATAATTGATTTGCAGACGAACAACAAACAGAAAAGGACTAAATTCACTGAATACATTGCTTGCTGAAAATAGGTGGTTTTGCTCTAATTATTTGCCTGCAGGCAAGCCAGGTTTTCTTGTTATCTGTTAGAACAGAATTGACAAACAAAAGCAGATTTTGCAAAGCCAGTCTTTCTGACTATCCATTGTTTCTCTGCTGCTGTAGGTTGGGGAGCCAAAACTTGTGCTCTGCATGGACTGCTCCGCTGAGACTATGAGCAGTCGCCTTTTGACAAAAAGTCAGAGCTATGAGTGCTTTGATGATAATGCTGAAACTATCCGGCAGCAAATTGAAATATATTACCAAGCAACAGAGCCTGTGATTGCATATTACGAAAAGAAGACACAGTTATGCAAGGTAAATTGCTCAAAATTTGAATTAAGCTATTGTTCTTTTCTGCCATTATATGAATGGTATTCAAGGATTAGTGACATGAGGCCATTTATGAACTGTGCTCAGTTCCTGCCAGCCTACTCTGGAGCTCATTTTCTGATTTACTCTCATCTTCCTCAGTTTATTTTCTCCTGGGTGCAGGTTGTCACTGGCAATATCAAAGAGTATCTGCAAACTATGCTGTTCCTTTCAACATGGAGTGGAATCTTCTGCTTTATGCAACATTTACAGTTAAACCTCTGAGTTCTGCAAAACAATCTGAAAGCATAACAATATGAGACTTGCTCAGAATGCCCTACATCACCACACACCATATTCAATGGCTGTGCTGGAAGGCTTTTCCTTAAAGGTCTAGGCATTGAGGCTAGGTACAGATATTATACTTTCACTGGTGTAAGTGATTGGAAACTGGTCTATAGCTGTAACGAAACAGAAGTTCAGCACACATTGGGTTCCACTATTTTTAAACCAGTCTGTCTAAGATTTGCACCCCCCGCCCCAAGGGCAAATGTGCATTACATTCTCAACCGATCTAAACTATGTCGCCTACAGAAAACTGCACAACTTAGATCAATTCTGCCTCAGACTTTTTGAATGTCTGTACCTAGCTTTAGTGCGCTGCATGGGCTTCCAGAAATAGGGCACATGATCAAACCCATACTAAGCACTTCAGCATAACAACTAAATCTTCCTCCTTTTCGGAAGGCAAGATTGCATCCACTAAAATAAGCACACACTTCCAGACCAGACTTGTGCAGACATTAAAGGAGGAATCTTCAGCTACTATAAATGGCGCAGCTCTGCTAATGCCATGAGCAACTTCAGATTACATTAAGGATACACATCTTGAGATTTTGAGAGAAACCTAAATGGGCAGGTGTTGAGGGTTTCAGATCAGTTTAAGGGACCAAATCTTGTTTAGCTTCACTAGCTGACTTTGAAAATCCTGGCTTGTAATTTTTTATGCAACCTCCCTCAGTGCCTGACTAAGTACTAAGTATAATTTTATTTTAACGGACATTAATGATCTTTTTAAATCCAAATGCTCTGTGTTATGGCTAAGCAGGAGTATAACCATACAGGCCTTTCAAGAAACAGACACTCTTTGCTTTGTCATTGAGCAAATGGGCTTAACAGACATAGAAAAAGACACAATTGATTTAACCATTTTTACAGGATTTTAGTTCTTGGGAAAGGTGGCTGATAGGCATCCTTGATACCAAATCCCCTCATTGAGCCATAGCACAAGTACAGCACAGGGTAGTGACAGTACAAGTTTACCTGCACTTTCCAGCTCACTAGTCTTCAAGCCTGGACTGCAGGTGGCTACATGTTCAAGTGTGACATTCACCCCCTGTGCAAAGGTCCAGCACAACAAGCAGAGTCAAAATTAAATAGTGCATCCGCCCCTCTGCCCAGAGGTTCAGAGAGAGGAGAATGAGCTGTATTTTCAAGTTCCAAAAAGCAGCTTAGTTTCCTCGTTGGCTGTGTTGGTTTACTGTTAGGAGACACATGGAATAGTCCTAGAAAATAAGGTGGCCAGCCTGTGGCACACATGCCCACATGGCATGGACAGCCTCCATGTGGCACAGCAGACTGAGAAAGGGTAGGTAGCACAGTGGTAAATAGGGTAGGGAGAAGAAAGCAGAGCAGCAGATCAAGAAGGGGAAGGGTATCATAACAGCACTCAGGGATGGCACTGACCTTAATGTGTGGCAAGCCAACCAAAAGGTTGGTCCCTATTTTTGGAGAACCATGGGCATCCACAGTCTGATCTAGCTCCCACTCAAGTCAGTAGAAGTCTTTCCCCTACTTAGGATGCCCTTCTTTTGCTTGTGCCTATGTTGAATAATGCCTGTGAAGCTGCACATATGTAACCTTAACCACGTTCCCTGTCTGACTGCTAGAGATTCACAGCCTGCCTGAGAGGTTAACATGCAATTAACAGGTTGATTGAGAATGCAAAACAATCCATTTCTGCTGCCACCTGAACAGGAATAAAAATTTGACAATGTTAGATTACTATAGCCAAAAAGCCAGGTGTTCATTTGAAGTCATTCTTTGGGTAAAAGATAACTGGTAACTGCTTCTATTCAGCAGCAGAAGTGTTAAACCCAGCAAAAGGACTGTACTCTTAATATGGAAATGTTTTCCCTGTCTGCAAACCTGACAGGAATAAATTATGGTGAACCTTTCACAAGCTTAGTGAAGCAGAAGGACTGGTAATGCGCTTTGCTGGCAGGGGCATTTGCAGAAGAAAGCTAAACAGAATTAGGGGCAAAGAATCACAGGATTTGGGGAGGGGGTTATTTTGGTTGCAAATGTCCTATTAAGGCAGAACACTTTCAGACCTTATTCTGGAAGACAAAATATCGGTAGCAGAAGAGTGGAAGTTATTTTCTAGCTACCCAATAAAAATCCTGAATTTGGGACAATTCTCTTTGCTACAGTTCCTTTCACACTCTATTACAGAGCATCTACCAGCTGGTAACATCATACAGGCTGTTTTAACAGATGATTCCTACTATTTATGTGGGGGCTGAAAATACTTCTCAAAAGAATAGATTGCAACCTCCATAAATCTGAAGCATTCACCCTATTCAGTGTAGTTTTCAAATACAGAGCCATTACATTATTTTAATTGCATGAAACAGAAGTTGTTATTTTACAGTTAATAATTTTCAGTATCACAATTTGTAATGACTTGGCTTTTTCATGACAAAGCATGCAAGTATCAAGTCAAAGCTGAAAAAAGAAGAAGTAAAATTTATAATAGAAGTACAACTGCTAAAATGTAGTTACTCTTTTTTTTTTTTTTTTTTTGTAGAGGAGAGGTATAAACAAGACACACTGCAGTGGACAGGGGTTACAAAAATGTGCTAAATTCCTGCTTCTTCTACTGGCCCATCAGGTGGCCACAAGCTAGTCAATTCCCTCCGTGTGCCTCAGTTTTCCTATTTATAAACTGGAAGTAAGCATAATGACTTCCCCATACAATGCTTTGAAGTATATGAGTGAAAAGTGCTGTTTGTAAGGGCTAAGTAATTAGTACTATACATCATTTGCCATAAAAGGTTTTTATAGTTGTGTTGGATTTCCTAGCACATGGGAAATTACAGACTTGGAAACCAACAAAGTTTTTAGTGGCTCCAAAACTGAATTAATTATCCACAGGGTCAGGGTTTTTGGAGCAATGGGGCTATAGATGACTTTTATAACATTCTTGCATGGAGCAGAGAGAATGGGCCACACTTGTAAAGATATTTAGGCACCAAAAGAAGAGATATGCATATGGGGGATTTATAAAAATGCCTAATACCTCTTTTTCCTTGATTTCAAAGGGAGCTAGGTGACCTGGTGCCTTTGAGGAATCCTACAAGCATATATATGCAGCTTAATACGTCTCACCCTCTGCCTAATGTACTAATCGCCTATTAAGCCATTCTACTTATACTAATGGAAAAAAAGACAAAAAATCTGAGTATTCTTAATATCTGACTCATCTTTTAAAGCTTCTTTTATTGACAGTATGTAGGAGTGCAATAAGTAATATTAAATGGAAAAGCATATCTAATGAAGCAAGATAAGAGCGATCCCAACCTGGTTTACAGCAAATGAGTAGGCGTCTTAAACAGGAAACTTCATGTTCAAATTCACTGCTAAAAGAAATGTGTGCTCAGTGAATTATGCAAGCAACCCAACTCAAAGGATTTATACAACTTCACTAGTTAAAACTGAATAAGATCAAAGGTTAGCTTAGAAGATATCCACAAGATCATCTACAGGGGTCTACGCAGATGTCAACCCCATTGCAATATCTTGCTTCTACTCTTAAATAACAGGGCTGAAAAACAGTCAAGTAATTTGATGCCCGAGGACCTGTAGAATGCATTGTTGGTCACTTACTCCAAACTTGCACAGCAAGTACAAAACAAACACAATTATTCATAGACATTGGCATCTGGGTAGATGGTCTACTATTACTATCTGGTTTCTGGTAGTGGCCAAAAGTAGATGCTTACCAAGCTGCTTTTCAGGCTAACAATTCTTTATTTGAGCTAAAACATTTTTGCAAGTCCCTTATAGGCACTTCAAAAATAAAACGTATTAGTGGTGATAATGGCTGTCTCTATATAATCTATTAATTTGCATATGTTAGGAAAAGCTAGCAGAGAATATGTGCCCCTGAGACGTGATGATAATGATTGAGGGAACGAGATTTTGTCATCTTTAAATTGCAATAAAATATAATGCCCTGTAATCCCTCCACCTTCTGCATTATTGTCATGACCCTGCCAGTCTGCAATCCAATCAAGTAAGACGCTTAGAGACAGGTGTCAATCACCAACACACAGGCAGAGATAATATAGTCTTAAAGGGAGTTGCTCAAAATGGAGGCAATTGTGCAGCAGACAGAAGAAACAAAATCATGAACATACCTTGAGAAGAGTACCATCTTGAAGGTCTGTTTGTGGAATCTGTCATAATACTGAGGGGACAAATACCCTGCCTTCTTTGCCAGACTTTTAGTCAGCACTGCTCACAGAGGTTACAAAGCTGCTGGCCAACAACCTGCAAGCTGTGCCTGTCTCCTTCCTGGCTGCTGCAATCCACTGCTGGTGAAGGGTGAAGATATTTTTTGGTGAATGAGGAGGGGAAACAGGGTAGCAGCTGCTCTGCAAAAAAGTGTTGCAAGTTCTGTACTCAAGAAAACAACTCTTCAGTCTGACTGGAGACCTTTGTCTCCAGTTAGGAGAGTAACTGGGAAGGTTGTAGCAAGGCAGCTGCACCAACTGCATTAATTAATCTCTGAATCAACAAACAAATATAAAATAGCCATGATTCCTGGCCATCTATCTACAGCTTTTACAAATGCTGGAATGGAATTGCTGGCAAATGCTAAGGGGAGTGGATGGAAACCTCCACAAGCGCCCAGCTGGGGGATTCCACAGCACAGCTATGAGCAACATTCTGCTGCCCCAAGGGCTTTCGGAGTACTCCTGGAGTTGGATAGTATCACCTCTGTTGTTCTGCGCTTATTTGATATCTGTACATAGGACAGTGAGAGAGAGAGAGGCTCCAAGCCTCAGAGAGAGAGAGAGAGAGAAAGAAGTTTTGGTTTTAGCATGTATTCCCCACTGGAATCCAGACATATATTTTCTTTCAGACATACCAAAAAACCCTGTTTTTAATTTTGTTGCAAGAATGGAGACAAAGTAGATGGATGGGCCTTTCTTTACTTTATGACCTCAACATTTTGGATTAGACGGTCACTGAGCAGGAGATGGCGGAAGCCCTCCTCCAAGGCCTAGGTGGAGTCATGCTGCAGGGCAGCAGGTTGGACCCTAGGGCCCTGTGAGCCTCCGTCAAGATAGACAAGTAGACAGATACCTAGAGTTGCATTTAACAAATTACTAGGAGTGAAAAAAAAATTATTTGTTCTCATGGCTTCATACTAAAATTACGCTGCTATAATGCTACCTGTGTGCACGTAAAGAACTGAATTCCATGCTTTCAAGATGTAATCAAACTGGAGATGGAAGATTTTGTTCAGATCTCAAATTATGCTACAGTAAATTTATCTGTAATAAATTATATTAGGTATCTAGTTCATTGACACTGAAGAGATACAAGATACTATAAAACATATTTTTACTAGGTACAGATTGAATTAGTAAGTTACAAGTCTCTGACATAATTCCCAGCACACTTACTGGCTGGGAACTCTGTTCTCCACTGCAAAAACATAGATAACTCTTTCACAGCATGTGAAGAAATTTAAGTCTTTGGTTTGTGTTGAAATGAGTTATTGAAAGCGTTTGGAACAGCCAGAGAGACTACAGTCAAGATAGAATTGAAGAACTCAAAGGAAAAACCTCAATAGTGTATTTTACAGAAAGTGAGCAATGGAACAGAACAAAAACAGTGGCCCACTGCAGAGCATACACTGCACAAAGGTCATGGAGAACTGCAGGGCAGCGGGTTGGACCCAAGGGTCCTGTAGGGCCATGCCGGGGGGCCTGGCATGGGGAGCCTGGATACGGTTTTCATTGGCCAGCCCTGGCCAGTTGCTGTTGGAAGAGCTCCATACTGTCCTGCTCCAGGGCCTTCAGCCAGGCTTAGTGCTCCTGCTGCACCCAGTCCCGTGCCTCTTCCCAGGCAATCTCCCAGGTAACGTCTTCCTCCTGCCAGGTCAGCTCCCACACCACCTGCGCCTACTGCTGCCCCTTTTTCTATGCTGTCCAGTTTTCTACCAGTGCCACCAGCTGCTGAAGCAAGAGGGTACACTGCTGGCACAGCTGGCACACCTGGACAGCTCCAGCAGTGGGTGGCAGCGATTCTGATGCAGCACTTCTGCAGGGCCCTACAGCCTCTCTCCTACATCCAGATGTTGGCCCTGCAGAGGCAAGAGACAGAAGGTTTTTGTGCAAGTTCGCAGCATTGCAGAGATAAGATGCTCTGTACCAGGGTCCCTTAGCTGCCCAGCCTCAGATTGGAGATTGGCCATGTGCGAGTGCCCAGGGAACATGGTAAGCTGTCCAGGCAGGGCTGGGCCCAGGCAGCTGCCAGCCGAGCCCCCTGGCCCCACTTGCACCCTGGGGCTGGTGGCTGGCCACAGCAGGTGCTGCCAGCAGCCTGGCCTGGCCCTCCCTGGGAAGGGGTGGGTCCAGAACCCACGCTTCCCTTGCCTGCAGGCCAGCTGCTCTGCTGCACTGCCACCCAGCCCAAGGTGCTGGGCCCTCCCCCCAGTGCAGGACTTACCACATGTCTGGGGCTGGTGAGGCTGGTGGCTCACCTCAGGGCTCCTTGTCAATAATGGCATCTGGCTGCACCCAGTGTTCATGGCCTGCAGCAAGCCAGGACCCTGCCCTGGGGAGGAGCTGGTGGCTAGCAGTGGCATAGCCACCCAGTCCTTCTGGTGGGTTCTGGGGCTGGGCCAAGGGCAAGGCAGCTGCTGGACAGGGCTCCCCGAGCTGCCAATGGATGCACCAGCTGAGGAGGCGGGCAGGGCACTAAAGGCCTGATGTCCCCTCCTTCGGCGACACATCAACAGAGGCATCAGGGCGGGGAGCAGGTGAGGGCAACTTGCCTGTGCTGGTGGCACTCATAGGGGTGGGGCCCATTTTCTGGGGCACCAAAATGCAGGTCAACTTCCACATGAAATGCATGGTCTTTTTGCCATGACTGGGCCAATGATTGGTCCAGTTGAGGGCCCAGGCACTCAGGATGGGCATAGGCATGCAGACAGAGCTGGGGTTCAATGGGGAAGATATGCTGGACATGCTCTCTGGGCCCCCTTGTGGCTGTCTCTGATGCAGCCATAGAGGGCTGCCAGCAGCACCCTGGCCAGGAACTGCGAGCTGCAGAGCAGAGGCACTTCACTACAGTGCCTGCAAAGAAATCGAGCTTGGGGTGAGGAGCAGCAGGAAGCAGGCGCTAGGAAGAGCAGGGCTCACAGCCCTCGAAGGAATCTCAGGGCTGGGCAAAGGACACACCAGGCTGCAGCCTTTTGCAGCACTCACCTGAGGCCAAGGAGCAGCTCTGGCTAGGGGACAGAACAGGCAGAGGCTGCCTGGGTCATGTCCAGGGGAACACACAGGGCCTCGTGGGATCCTGCAGACAGCACTGACTCCTTCAGGCTCCCTGTGCTGTGTGCTCCAAGGCACAAAATGGCTGGAGGCTTATAGTCTGTACCTAGGGGCTGCCAGAGAGCAACCCAGCCGTACAGGAGAGGCAGCCAGCCAGCCAGGAGCCCTGGGGCTGGACTCTGGCTGGCTCCCTAGTGGCTGGGTAGACCCAACACCAAAGTCCCTGCATTAATGTACATTAACACATCTACATGTGCATTAATATGCTTTAACTAATCATGCCTAAATTTGATACTTGGTTTATGCAGATATCAAATTTAGGCAGAATCAACTTAAAATTACCATTTTTAGGCACATTAAGGTTGCGCACATGAATATGCGCACCCTTAATGCACCTTAAATTGGGCTAATGCACATGTGTAGACACGCGCAGTATTATCAACTACGTCGCTTCAAATGACCAGAAAACAGTAAACAAGTTGGTTATTTTTTTTTTTTTATCTTACCACCATCCCATGGGGTTATTTTATTAAGTTGCTTGGAAGTTAAAGAAAAGTTAAAATAGGAATTCCGCAAAAAATCTGTGAAAACCTTTCTATATACAGTAAAACCCCTGTTTTTTGGCATGAATGGGGGTGCTAGTAATCTAAAAATGCTGGTTACCTGAGGCACAGGAGTTTCTGGCTGGACACTAAGGAGGGGGAGGGGAGCAGCAGCTGCTCGTGTAGCAGGGAGTGGGAGGGTGGCATGGCCACACACAGAGTGGCAACAGTGCAGGGCAGTGGATGGTAGCAAGCTTCAACCCCCTCCATCTCCGACCAATGAACCTCCTGGAAGTTCCAGTTAATAGAAATGCTGATTAGTAACAGGCCTTTAACTGTATTAAAAATGTTATGATATTTTAAACTTCAAAAGGACTCTTCAGGAAGAACTGAATGGTTTGGCAGTGTTCAGAACTTCCAGAAGCTGCCCTCACACAGTCACTTTTCCTCTGAGGCACCTTTATGGCAGCACACAGATCAAACTACAAGACCAAATATCTAGAATATGGGATTTTTTAAAACCAATTACTAAGATTACAAGGGAAAAATCAATTATTTACCGCATAACAGGCACCTAACATACTTTCTAATATTCTTTTAATAGATAAATGCCGAAGGAACACCAGAGGAGGTTTTTCTTCAAGCCTGCACTTCGGTTGATCTTTTTCTGAAAAAGGAAGAAGCAGCCTCTTCTTTTTCAGCAGAAATACAGTAATGGTGTACAGCATTTCATTTCACATGCGCACTTGACAGTTCTGACTAAAATGCTGTTCAAAGCAATACCTGCTGTCATGAGAGGTATCTGGAATTAGTGCATGTGCTATTTAATGTGATTTCGAAGGCTTTATTTTATCCATATGTATACAGTACACTAAATATAAAATGGTATCTATGCTAAAACAATACAAAGTACTGTATATTGTTTATCAACTTGTTTGCACTTCACAGGTTTAAAACAGCATGGTGAACAGCAGGTCCAGTTTATATTCACGCCTTCATGTATCTGACTATAACCAGAGGTGTTGCAGTTAATGTTGAGCTCCTTCAACTTAACCAAGTTAGTTGCCACATGAAACTGCAGGATTGTTGCATAACAATACTCATACCTTTTTTCCCCTCTTAATTAATTAGTGCTTTTCATTTCTGTGCCAACACTTAGCTTGTTCTTAATTCATAGTTGTTGAATTTATTCCTTGCCATTTTGCTTAATGCTGGAACATACCTGTAATTTGTCAAAATAATTTATACAGAGCTATGGAAACTGAACACACTTTTGATGCTTCCCAAAAATACTGTAAATGAAGTGAGCAAAAAACAAACTGAATGTGAAGAAATTAGCTAATACTCTACAGGTCTGTCCATCTATTGGCAGGAGGCAGACATAACTAAAAAAAGCTTTGCCTTGCTGTTAGTTTTCAGCACGTTGTAACAATGATTTTCTAATTATATGCGTGTGGTGGGGGAAGGGGGCAGTAAATACAGTGACTGAAAGTACTGGTGCAATTCAAAGTGCAAGCAGATGATTTCCATGCTAATAACGGTAGTTTTCATTGTTAAAAATTAGATATTGAGCAACAGCCAGGAAGTACGAAAGTTAAGCAATTTAATCATTAAATCATACTCTGGAAGTATTTCAAGCATAAAGTTCAGTTGCAGATCATCATCTGTTGTCTTTTAGCAGCATTGCCAAAGCTTGAAAGTGACAGGCCAAAAATATATACAGTAAAAAGAGAGAGAAAATGTTGGGGATTGTGCAACTTGCAGCATATCCTGTATTTAACAACCCACTTTTCCAAAATATCTGCACAAAATTATGTGAAACCCTATTTTACATCCATTTAGTTAAAATATTTTTTATGCCACAGACAGCCAAATAAAAGCTTATTTGACATTTTTGTGAAGTAACTGTATCTTCCTACTAGACCACTGGACTAGTCCACAGTTAGAAGTGATTGCATGACTGATCTTTCTGTCAACAGTTGTACTTTAAATGAGTATTTATGGGACAGATTTGTATTTTTAAAGTTACTTTTCTTGTAATGAAGACATAATACAAAATAAAATGAATGGACAAACAAAGAGAAGTATTTTGTTGCAGTGCATATAAGTTTAGTTTCGCTGAAAGTACAATAAAACAGATTGCTGTAAAGTATAATAAATGAAATTAATAAGTTACACAAACATGATTTTTTACTTAAAGAAGATTCTCCTGTTTTTGTTTTACTTCTACTACAGTGAATGGTTCAAATATTTACTAAAGACAGCTTTAGACTTGCTCTCATCTTTTAATTGTGGATGGCCTTGCTTTCTTGATTTTGTTTTTTTTAAACACAAATTAAGCTTTACTGCTGACACCAAGCAAAATGCTAGACAGACAGACAGACAGACATCATACTCTGCTAGCTAGTTCAATGTCTAACAAACCACTTTTTGAAAAAAGAAAGTTCTCTCTATCCATTCAAAGATCCTTTCAGCTTACATTTAAACCTGCAGGCGCTAGTGCCAATCCTCTTACGCTAGTTCTCCATTAATTAAAATAGTCTGAAATAATCATGAGGATACGAATTATTCTGAGCAGAACCACATCTAGATACTTCCAGTAATTTTATGGGCTATTTCTCATTAGAATGATAATTCAAATTTATGGAATGGATTGTTTCCATTCCCAAAGGACAGTGGCAAAAGTCAATTGTCAATTTTTAATTCTAGAAGTCAATTACAATTTTAGTTAGTTCTCACAAGTCCCCTTCAAGCTAATTAATGTAAAAAATACTACATACATGTGTGATAATTTTTTTCATTCAAGAATTATGATTAACTGGAACATGTTAAAAGCTCATCAGAAAAGAAGGATACCACCACAGATTTTGTCTCTGGTATTTACTCCTCCAAGAAGCTGCTTCTTTACCAAGGGTGCGACTTCTGGAGAAGGGTGATCTTCTGTGTTTTTACAGAAGAGTGTCTGTCTTGCAACAAATCTCTTTTGTTTGTCATTAAAAAGTGAAATACATCTGGTGAATTTTTATATTATATTTCTTTAGGTTTATTAAATTTCTCAAAGTATATGAGATGCTTACAGATGATGTATTACATCACTCAGTGTTTTAGTAACTGTGCTATATTATCTACTAATATATTAAGTGCTTACACCTTTTCTCTGAAACAAAAATGATTACACCTAGATAAATTATGAAAATTAACACTGTAATCAAGCTACAAGTAAAATTATTGTCAAATGCAACCCACCAATTAACGTTCTTATTGCCATACTTTTCAGCTAATGTGTTCCTTCTGTATTCTAATCACTCTGAAATTCAAGTCTGTGTGCGAGTGGAAATCTATTACAGTTAAAAATGATCACTGTTTCTGAATCACAAGCTATACATTTCATTAAAAAAGATATATTAGCTAAAAGTATATCACAATAATTACAAAGCTGCTCAGACATCAGTACATCTTTAGGCTAATACACTGAAGTTGCTAAAATGTCTTCCTTTAGTCAGGAGTGGACACAGGGGGATGACAGTATGGTATAACATACAAGAAACTGAGGACCTAATCCTACAAGAGGCTGAGCACAGTCTATAAGGAGCAAAGTACCTTCAACTCCTATTGAATCAAAAGTAGTTGAGGGCACTGAGTACCTTTGCATGGTTGAGCCTTTTAAATATTCATATGACCTATTATAACGTACTTTTTTCTATTGTTAATGTCGGTTAAAAAGTCAAAATCTACACAAAAAGGAAATCACAGCAAGCATTCTATATATAAACAGACTGTATCCACATATTTTATTTCTCACAGTTCTCCTGACAATTGAACATTATTTAAGAACATACTGTATACACAGATAAGAAGAAACATACAAAATGTTTTAAATGATGCACAACAAAATCCAGCAGTATAAAAGAATGCATGTGAACCCTTGCTCACTGCTCAGGCTAAATTTAATCACTTGTTTAAATAGTAATAAAAATACAATCTTTCATGGATCTTGTGCAGACTACAAAAGAGGAAAATTATTACCATATATATGATTTATAGTAGGCAGTTTTCTTTGATGAGTTGCACTAACAACTCCAAATACAGAGGCAGAAGGCTGTGTATTTTATTTTAAAGGAGTTAATGTTGAGTATTAGAGACTTTACACAGTTACTACCACTGGCACTTTTCACCATATTTTGTACACATCACATGATCATCTTATATAACATTACATTTAAAAAATATATCTGAGTGACAATTTTATAACATTCACACACCATGAGCTGGTTAAGGAAGCAATGACACAGTTGCCTCCTGTAGTGCTTCACTGTTGGTAAATAGAGTTCATTGTGGTTAAAAAAAAAGTCAATGTGATTAAGCAGCTCCAATTTAATGAAGGCCTGTAACCAACCATCATTGGGACAGTGAGTATTTTTTTTTGTTTTTTTTTGTTTTTTGTTTTTTTTTTAGAGTATATCCTACAAGCAAACACTGTCATTGGTTAAAACCTTGCCTAACATAGTCAGTTTCTGTGCCGAAAACTATTTCACAACAAAACTGCAAGCTACTAAACTGATTTTATATAAATACTTCATCTTCTCTGGATCTCATTATAACCAAGTTCTTCAAAGCCTTTGGAATTTACTCTCGCTTTAATGTGTGCTCTCATTTCTGGCTCACCTTTTTGTATTTATTTTTTGTTTAGATTCACCACCTAAAAATAACTAATGCGGTGAAACGAAAGTCTCCCAATGAAACCTTCTGCACACTAGGAATGTTCAGCTGCTGTTCAGTGATCTAGAACCATGACAGTTCAAAGCTGTAGTTTGACAAGTACACCCAGGAAGCTGTCATGCTGCGAGTGACATTTCAGGGAAAGCAGAGTCTTTCCAAAATGTGCACGGAATTAACAATGGCGCCATTGTTATTTTTCAAAGATAGTAAGCCCCACATTGTAAGTCTGCTTCCCATGTCATCTATTTGCTGGAAAGTAGTTTGGGTCTAGGTAATTGTAACTCGTTCCTTGCGACATGCAGTAGTCTCTGTCTAAAAATGTCTCAGCTCTGTAAATAGGTTCTAACTGGTGATCTTCTTTGTGAATTTCTGTTTCATGTAGACTGAAAAGAAAAGAAAAGAAAATTACTCAGAAAATCAAATCATGTTTCCAGGTTTTTCACTTCCAGAACAGTAAATAGATTTTGAAAATGCATGTCTAATTTAGAATCACCACTATTACACAGCTTAGGTTGTAATAATACAGTACATGCATTCCCCAAAACTGACCAGTATAAAACTACTTTCATGTCATAAGGAAGCCCAGCAGGGACATGTCACAGTTATACTCCAGTCACCTCTTACTATGGAGATGAATCATTGATGAATCCAGGATTAATCCAATATATACAATGAGTTTATTTAGCAATTACACCTTAAGCAGGTATTCAAGTAAATTAAATATAATAAGGATCAACTATTGCAGCTCACCAGTCTGAACAAGAATCACAGAAATCCAAAGACATTTCTTGAGGGCAATCCTGGCAGTGCCATCGAACACCTTGAATAGGTTCAATGCCGCAATTATCACACTGTGAAATATATAGAACAAAAGAGCACTGTAAAAAGAAACCTTTAATATGCAACTTAAAAGCTACATTTTCATTTAGAGCAGTGCACTGCACTCAAAGACAATGCATATGATTTATCCTGAGCTCGAGAGAGAACCATTTCCTCACCACCACCCCCACACCACTACCCCCACTGCTCCCTTGAAGCTTTATCTTGAAGTTCTCATCTTTCCGGTTAAGAAGAACTGAACGTATTTCCATCTGGGACACATCATTTCTAAACTGGCCAAAGGAATTACTGCAAAGTAGTACAAGCAAATCACTGTAACTCGAGGATGAGGCATGATATATCTACACTTCTCTAAGGCTAAGCCCTATGATCTGAAATGACTGAAGCTGAATCCAGTTTCCATAATATATTACACATCATAATATATTAGACATCAGCCCCTTATCAACCAGACCACTGATAAGGATAAGAGATAGTATCTTCAGTTATTCCATTACAGCATTTTTATGTTTTGTAAGTATAACTTACTATATATCAGGGGTGGGCAGCAACACTTATTACGAAGGTTATCACACTTCCCATTGGGGGATGCTGTTTTCAGCTGCTGATAACTTGGGCTGAAATTTCCTAAGCCAGGTGTCTGAGTAAGCTTGATTTTTTTTCCTGGAAAATTTCAGCCAAAACAGCACAGCCGATTCCAAGAACAAGGCTAAGCAAAGTATGTTTTTTCCCTGCTAAAATATTCTTCAGACCTTTTCTCTGAACAGTTCTACTCCCATACTTTGGAACCAGGTCTTGAAATCTGGCAGGAAAGTGGTGTGTGAATATCCCTGCCACTATTGAGAAAACCTGCTGAAATGTGGCCATTTTAGGGAAACGGGCCTTAAAAAAAAATCACACTTCCCATTTGCTCCAAAGACTTCCCCAACTTTACTACTTAAATCTCTGAGGACTTCTTCCTCACTAAGTATTTTCTCCAGTTCTTACAATGCCAAATGCCAACTTCAGTACATATGCACCACAATTAGCTTATCATGATCCAGCCCAGAGCTACAGTGGGAACCCAGACGTTCCCTGTAAGAGCTGTTGCTGGCTTGGTACACAAACTAACAACAGGAAACCTGTCTCTCCCTTGCTGGCATGCAGGTAGAGCAAAGGAGGAAGAAAACTACTGTGAATTCAGAAGGGACAAAGCTAATCTAGGGTGAAGGGAAGGAGGAGATTGGAACAAAGAGCCTGGAGAGGCTGAGACTGGACAGGGAGAGGAAATGGTGCCTATGAGTTGGAGGAGAACCTGTAACTGGTTTTGAGTAAGAAGATAAACTGAATGACAAAGGATGGGGAGGCTGCTACAGGAACTGTGGTACAAAAGCTAGTGCTAGGGAGCCTAGGACTAGGAGCTGTGCAGGGAATGGGAGAAATGGGGACTAGAAGATAGTTGGCTATGTGGGAAGTACACCAAAATCAGACGTAAACTAGGTACAAGGAGAGACTATGAGGGGCTAAGAAACCAGCCTGCTTCTACTAAGCATGCAAAGGAAAAAACTGAGAAGGGAACAGGTACAAGATAAGATTAAAATGATGATCCAGGAGAAAGTGGAGTTGGGGGAGGGAGTCAGGAATCAAGACTAGAGAGGAATTTGAAAGGGCAGACAAACTGAGAAAAAGTATGCATGTGTACGTGCACACAAGCACAGAAGTCCAATCAGATAAGAAGCCAGGAGGAGAGAATTAGGACTAAGCTGGACAAGAAAACTTGATTGAGAAGTCTAATGAGTGGAGACTGAACCTGGGTAGACAAGGAAGAAGCCACAGTGGGGAAGATCCAGAATTTGGAAGGCAACCTACTTGAAGAGACATGATGGAGGGAAGCCAGCTGAGGGTATAATAGGCTTGTACCCACTAGGTCTAGGGACAGAATTTACACAGAAACCATGATAAGTGATCAGAAAATGGTTCACATCTGTAACACAACAGAAATTTGGTGCACATAAACCACTTTCAAAATGGCTGAAACCAGTTTAAGATAAACTGGGCTGCATATAGTATCAGACTAATTTAAGTTAACTCAGTTTATTGAATTTCTGTCCGACATCCCTTCAAGATTCAAGTTAACTCACAGTTCTCCAGTATCCCAGGATGCTTTGCACCTCCCCCTCCCCACCTCAGGGTAGGTTGGCTAGCCTTGGCCCAAGCTGAATAGGGAGGTGTGCTCTAGCACCCCCAGCCACTGCAAGTATGTGGCTGCATTTTCAGAAACAAAAATGAATGTCTGTTCACTTGCTTATTGGTTCAATCTATGCAGCTTAGACTAACCCGCAAAGATTGAATAGATTCAGCCTCAGACTTTTTGACCATCTGTACTTAGCCAAGGCCTGAACAGGATCTCAACATTTCTAAGCCTAACCATTAGTCTGCTGGTAGCAAATATCTATGAAATCCACTGTCACTCCCTAGTAGTGCTGGTCTGCACAGATAGTATTACTGCAGTTCAGCATACAGGACAGACTGGCTCTGTCTATGAGACTGGGCTGAAAAAGGGATACTATCTGCTGGAACCCTACTTCACTTGCTGCAGAAGTTGAAAGGTATGACCTGAGTGGAGTGGAAGAGAATGGCCAGACACTTCAAACAAATGCTGCCTGGGAAATCTAGATTCCCTCTCTGCCATAGCTTGTGTGATGCTAAGCCACTTCAAACAGATTTTTCACAGGCAGTCAACAGATGCATGTTCCTCATTTCCTGGATGCCTACCTTAAGCCCATGTGCTCCAGTCTGCAGATGTGAGAAATACACTCAACAGTAATGGAAATCAAAAGGAACTATGTTTTGCATATATGAAGCAGTATTAGAGTAGGGGTAGACCAATAGAGAATTTCTCGACCAATAGCAATGGCTGATTTTTAATGAGCCATACTGGCCAATACTGATCCAATTCTGATATGTAGCTGGGCAGCATGGAGAGCAGCATCTGGCTAGTAAGTCTGCTGTGGAGGAAGGGGTGAGGGGGGAGGGAAGGGACATGGGGTGGGCAAATCAAGGCCCCTGCAGTGAGGGGGTGAGTGGGGCAGGAGCTGCACAGCCAGGACAGAGCAGGGGACAGAGTGGGAGGGGGGGGCTCCTACCACTATGCACCCCCAGAGGCATGGGGGGCACATGCCCCTGGATCTGTACATAGGGGACAGTGGACTGCCACTGTAGGCTGGGGTGGCGCTGGGCCGAGCTGTGCTCAGGGCAGGCGGTGGCAGCACCAGGAGGTGGCTAGTGGGGGAGGGGGCTGCAGCTACCCAACATTCACTGTACCCCACCTCAAGCCCTCTTCCAGCACTACCACTGCCCACCCCAAATGCAGTGTGGCCCAGCCCCCGCCAGGGAGAGCCCAGAGCCACCCCAGCCCACAGCAGCAGCCTGCCCTCACCCTGTGTGCAGATCTAGGAGCACATGCCCCCCATGCCCTCCTGCGGTGCGTGCAGCAGCAGGAGCCACCACCCCTTCCCCAAGCCCCCCTGGACAAGCTGTTCATGGCTTCATCCTGTGCCCCACCTGAGCTGTGCAGTGCCTGCCCCTGTTCCAGAGCCAGCCCCACTCCCTCCTGCACTGCTGGGGCCTCAATCTATCCTGCCACACCCCTTCCCTCACAACAGACTTACTAGCCAGACCCAGCTGTTCTCCATGCTGCGCTCCTGACCGCCTGCATGCTGTGCTGAGGCTGCACACATGCATGAGGCATTTATCAGTGGCATTATCAGCCACTTCAGCCAAGAAAGCCTATTGTCGATACAGTCCATTTTCCTTATATCAGCGTCGATCCAATATGGGATCGATGTATCAATGCACCTCTAGTATACAGTGCCAAGTACTCTGAAACACCAGATCCCACAAGTCATCTTAAGCTGGGTGCCTAAAGGTAGTGACTTTTTTTAATCTAATTTTTCTCTGCCTCAGTTCCCCATCTGGAAAATGGAGATACAAGCACTCTTGTATCCAGAAATGGTGCTGTAAAGACAGATTAGCTATTGGTTATAAAGTGCTCTCAACGTTTTTAGGGATAAGCATAAGACAAGCATAGGAGGGAATAAATTGTTTTGTAGAGCCAGGTTTGAATAGTGTACTGGAAGTAAGGCTGAGGGCAACATACTGAGCAACGTGAATGAAGTAAAATGCTGAATGGCTGCTTCAAGTGAGCACAACACAGCCTGAACAAGGCAGGAGTTCTGGGGAAAAACAGTATTTGATTATAGTTATAGATGTATCATCACACGATTGTGTGTTCACATGTGCGCATACACATTCACATAGGTCCAAATTAAGGCCACAAAGCAACCTTCATTCTGGCTTTTACTAGGTTTGAGTGCTCGACTTTGAAATGCTGATAACATTTTTTCAGTGTAATATTTCGTGTGCAGTTTCAAATAGGAGAAAATAATTCATTTTATAGAATCATATTCCTGCTGTACAAAACCTCATGTTCTGAGTGACAATGACAATAACACTTCCAAAGAGCCTCAAATCTGCATACCAGAGCTCTGCTCTATCAGTGTCACTACGGTACTGATCTAGCCATTCAGGGTCTCCAGTCACTCTCTTTGGAATGGATGACCTTACGGGCTCAAAGGAAAAACCAGTAGCAAAGAGTCCAAAAGGCCTGCCCCATCTCTAACGAGCCAAGAATATTCCTGGAATACTCCAGACATGAAAAGCAGCTACACAAAAGATGACTGCTCATTACTAAATATCCCTCCCAAGCTACAATATGTACTCTCATAATTCCCTCCTCCTCAGCACTACCTATAGATGGGTCGCACTGAGAACACAACATCTTTATAGCTGAAGATGATTGTACTTATTTCATATAAGACTCCTTCCATTTCTTTGCCTCAATCCTTCCTTCAAGCATTGCCTGCAGCTGGTATTTTTCTCTGCAGCAAGATCCTGACAACACCACTTGTTCCATTATCATTCAGTATCCCTAGCTTTTCTTCCTTCCAAGGAATAAATGCCTGATGGACTGACTTCCCTATTGCTTTGAAAACTGCTGCTGTTAACTGGGAATTGGTTTCATTCTCTAACCTAAGGCAGTCCAACCTTTAAGTGGCTGGGAGCCGCAGAAATGGAGTCCACATGTCCCCTGCCCCACTGTACTATGGGGTTGGAAGGGACAGCAGGCCCTGAATTCAGTTCCTGACATTCAGTAGCAATCATTTATTCACAGAGCCCTAGCAAGCATCCGCTCTGGACTCTCTCACACTTCAGAGACTCAACGCATCTTATGAAAACAAAACCAAACACACCACACAGATAGTCAAAGAAAAAAAGGATGCTAGGATTAAAAGTGCACTGCCAGTGTCCTGCCACTGTTAATGGCAAACAAGTTACTATGTTAAAAAAATTGGAAACTATTGGATTGAAAAAGAAAGTCTCTTTCCTATGAAAACCACTGCCTGCTAGGCTAATAAAAACTCACATTAATTGGAAAAAGCCTTACCTTAAAGCCTACATGCTGCACAAATCCACTTTCTGCGTGCATCTGTTGGAGTTTATGTTTTTTTAATTTTTTTAATTCTAGCAGTTCTTTGTATTCCGGTAACTCTCTATATGTTATTGGGATGCTCTCCTCATCCTGTTCAAAAAAGAAAAAACAAATTAATTAACTTCACAGATATACTACTGGAAAGACCTAACTTTCTTAAGCATAAAAGTATGAAATTCTTTTTCCAAAAAAACACTAACAAAATACGCTCAGTAAAAGGTGCACTCTAGGAATTATCTTGAGGGATAATACACAGGTACAGAAACAAAGAAATATACAGTTAATTTCTACTTTCATATATCACTTGTATTTCACCAAAAATGTATTACCTTACTTTTATGACAAGGAATACTGAAATAAAAAATACTTTGGATTCAAATTTTAGTTTAATGGCTCTGACCTGTGGAGTCATTTCACTCAGCCCAAAGGGCTTCTCAAGGGGCCAGGAATTTGGGGATAGGGCCCGCCACCAAAATCCCAGCTATGCCATTGCCTCATTGTGCAACAGCTGTCTTAAGCCCCACACATCTCCACTCACTCTGCTACCACCACTAGGTCCCAATCTGGACTACAAGGAAGCCTGAGGGCTAGATTCAGCCCAGGGACATAGGTGATTCTGACCCCCAATTTACAGGCATTTTCTGCAAACTGACACATGGGGAAAAAAGGGTGAATTTCTATTAAGCCAAAGCCTGTTGCTTTATTTGTAAATTTCTGGTAATAAGAATTAAAATATTTGAGAATTGAAAGTTGAAGTGAAAGAAACAACTCCACAAAACTTGCTACCTGTTGAGAATGTTCGGACAACGTCAACACTTTGAAATACCTAGTGCCAAGAGAAGCATACTTTTAACTGGAAATTTTTTACTGAAATCTAGCATTAAAGCTCCTGGTCTCATTTTCTGACCTAGAGCATAAGTAAGTGTAGGAGAGGCATTTCTGAAGCCCCTGGCAGTATGCTGGGATTTCGGTGGTGGGTCCTATCCTCAAATTCCCGGCCCTTCTAGGTGCCCCTTGGGCTCAGTGAAACGACTCCACAGGTCAGAGCCACTAAACTAAAATTTGAAGCCAAAGTTTTTTTTTATTTCAGCTATATTCCTTGTCAAAACAGGTTAGGTAATATCGTTGGTGAAATGCAAGTGATATACGAAAGCAGATATTAGCAGTATATTTCTTTTTTCTGTGACTGTCTTTATTCCCCTTCCCCCGCCCAAGATAATCCCTAGATTGCATCTTTTGCTGATTACATATTTTGTCAGTGTTTTTTTAAAGAGGTTTCATCCTACTTTTACGCTTAAGAAAGCTCCTGTATTAAATGATCTAATTTTCTGACCTAAAGCATAAGTATAGGAGAGGCATTGTTGAAGCCCTTGGAAGTGACACCTTATGCACATGCACCTGGATTTCCCCATATTTCCCTGCTGGTCTCCTATATCCCCCATCTTTCGGAAAACATTAGGATTAATGTTAATTTTGCTGTTGTTTTTCAAAACTTGTAAACTGAACTGTCTTTAAATTATTATGGATTATTAAATGATTAAGCTAAAATACTGAAAGGACCCATTTTAATGGATTTACTTCTAAGCTCTCAGAAAACTAGTAATATTTTTCTAGTGGAATGTAGAAGTACTGACGGCAATACTGTACATCTCATATGTAGTGGTGAGGCTGAATATCCCTGCATCCTTGAGGCTGAATTCCTGCAAAACTCATTTCAGAACTTGTGTACAGGCAAATAAACCCACTCTGAAATCAGCTGTTCTGTAAAAAAAATTGCTCCCAGATGGACATGCTACTCTGCAATGTGTGTCCCCATGACAGAATCATCACCTTACTCACACAGTAAACTAATTACCATATTTACCCAAATCTAAGACAAGGGGTTTTTTTTCCCCATTCAATCAGCAACAGGCAGTTGCTGAGGCTCCAGCTCTATCTCCCCCCGCAACAGCCTCTGCCCTCCACCATCTCCTCTTCTCCCCCCAACCCACTCATTCCCCTTACCCTGAGTTATGTCTTCCTGGCTCTGTCCCAGCCCGGGGCAGGCAGCACATGCTGGCTCTGGCTCCTGCCAACCTGGGAAACAGCAGCAGCCTTGGCCCCGAGTCTGGCTTTGACTGTAGAACTGGGGCTGCTGTTATCTGGCCACCTGGGGGCCAGAGTCAGCATGTGCTCTGTGCCCCAGGCCACAGCAGGGCTGCAGATGGACCCAGAGCTATGACTCAGGGTAAGCAAAGTAGGGACCAAAAGAAGGTGGGAGGGGAGCAGGGCAAGTAGTCACCGGGGGCACAGGCACCCGGGGTGGCGGGGCAGGGAATGGCAAGTGGGGAAGGGACATGCAGCAGGAACTAAGGTACAGGGGAGCAAGGGGTGTGGGTCAGGCTGTTTGAATCCCCTGTGGCCTTCCCCCCACCCCTGCCCCAGGGGGAATTTAAGACAAATCCTCCAATGATTAGATTCTACACATGGAAAATTAAAACGAATTTATACATTTTCCATGTGAAAAACCTAATTATTGGGGGGATCATCTTAAATGTGAATTTGTATGGGATTTAGGTAAATACAGTATTACAAAATAAAATTATTTTTTTTTGAGTAATGTCCACATAGGAGAAATTATTCCAGGCAGTTTCCACCACATGGATAAGGTGTTGACCTTAATTAAGAAGTGGCCACTGGTGCCTCCATAATAAAGAATTAAAAGGACCTTTCAATTAATTTTTACTTCATTGAAGTCTGGCTCTTTTTCCCATAAAATCTTTTTCTGAACTCACAATTGTCATTGAAAGACCTTTAAAAATTAAAACCAAATCAAGTACTTTGAAAATGGAGTTAGAAACCTTTTCTCGCCCTATTCAGTTGTGTTGCATTGATAATGGTGATTTACCTGTTAACTGAGCTCACACCTGCATCTTTCTAGAATAGTGTAAACTAGAAACATAACTCTCTGGAAATCCTGCACTAGAGAAGGTTACAACAGTGGTTTCTAACCCTTTTAGACACACTAGGCTGAAGGCACCCCTTGGAAAGATGTCAGCTCTGAGCTTTCACCAATTTTTTGACTACAGACAAATAAGAGAACAATTCTTCTGTTGCAAAGAACTCAAAGAGCAAGGTAGGTCAGAATGTTTTATCACTATGGATTCCAATTTGAAATCTCTGGGTTTATCTTTTGAATCATGCTTTCACACCTAACAATACTAATACTGCAAGACACCCTGCACTGCCCTTGAAAGAATCTCAAGGTACTCCAGGGCACTGCAGCAGTAGTAGCAAAATGGAAAGAAACATTACTGGTGAAATGTGGGCACATTAAAACCATCAGAACTTTAGCCTCCTAGGGGAAATATAAAAAAAAGAAAATACCCCACAAATATTTAGAAAACTACAAATGTATGTGAAAGAAAGCGATACAGAACAAATAGCTCTTTCAAGATGAAGAGATGCAAATTGACATTTTATAAATATTTATTTTAATAAACACTTGGAATCTTCTCAGCAATTAAGACTGGAATATAACAACTTATGGCTGTAAAGAAGGAAAGGAGGTAAGAGAGCTCAAAACACAAGTAGAGGGAGAAGACCAGACGTATCTGAGGACAACAACATTTGGAGCTGGACCAAACAATGAATCCATAAGCATTAAACTATTTAAGAATAATATACCCATGCAGTGCCAGTCTAAGGAAAATGAACCAATTAATCGAGAGGCCTCATCATCTTGTTACGTGTCAAGCTGTTGAGTAGTAAGGCTCTCCCATTCTCACAAGGATAAAATCCCTAGGCCTGATCCTACATCTGACTTCAGTGAAGCATCGCTGACTTAAACAAAATGAGGACCTGTGCCCGCATCCTCAGCAGTTCTTACTGTATGGAAAGAAGTGTGGAAATATACTGGAACTTTTTTGTACTTTCAAATTGCAAACCCAGAAACCTACACAACAGCTTGTATAATGATGCCCTACCTGGGTCATATGTGGGGACCCCTGCCTCTGCACGGGCTTCTATTGCCTGAGCCAAACAATCCGGTCTGTGAGCTCATGGCCTAAAAGACTCAAAAACCTTAGTCTGGTTTGCAAACAGAGGCAAAAATTCTTACTTCATGAAGGATGTAATTACATCAAGAAATGCTGAAAGCTTTTCGCTACTTTTCCTTCATCAGGTCTTTACCCAGAATAGGCCGGCACAGGTCATGTGGTTTTTAAAACAGATCCATCGTCTACTCGTTTATTCATGTACCGTAGTTACTGCACATTAAGTTTAGTACTTGGTTAACTAAGTACTAAATCGATGTGCAGTAACTCATGCTACTGTGCAGTAGCGCTTGTGCATAGGTTTTTAGTGACACTTACTGCACAGCAGCCTAATACTACTGTGCAGTAGCGTACTGGCACTTTTTTTTCCCAGTACACTACTGCTCAGTGTTACTAGGCTACTGTGTAGTTAGTGTCTTCTGTAGACGAACCCTCCGAATATCTTTTACAGATGCGAATGCACAAATACAAGTTTTCAGAAGCTGTTTTAATCCCCTGGGGTGGTGGGTTTTTTTTTCCTTTTATTGCTTTCCTCTCCAATGTTTCCCTTTTTGGTTTGGTCTTTCTCTGATTTTTCTGCGCTTGAGTCCTTATTCAAAAGAGGTGTCTGCAATTCAAGCTGCAGCTCCACCTGACTTACTATTGTTGAATGATTACTTAAAACACTCAACAATTTAAGACACACTCAACACTATTTACTTACAACAGGAAATCTTATTTCAAATATCATTCATTAAATAAGTGAAGAAAGACAGCGAGAGAGATCCTTTGTGATAATCTGAAACACCATACCGATATTTCCTCCTCTGTTGCAGCATCCATATGGCTGTGAAAACTTGATCGGTCATCATCCTCATCCATATAAACTGGAGGTTCATGGGAGGTCATGAAAGTTGAAGGTTTGAAAAGATGCTTATTTAAAGGATGTTGCCGCCTACTTGATGACTGCAGTATAAAAAAGAATGACATGCAATTTCAAATTGGATTCTTCTATAATTGTTTGGTAGCAAGTACTTCCTACCAAAATTAACTATACAAATGTTATGTTCACTTGCATGAACCCTGCCCCACAATTTTTCACATGTCTACGACTGAATGACATCTAAGTGTTGCGGGATCACATTGAGGAATGCTACTTTCTGCTTTGACGAATATTTAACCAACACAGTGTACAAGGGCAGAGACAAACCCCTACTGAAAAGGGTAGACAGAAGTGGAGACAAGAAAATAGACCTGTTTACATTTTACAGACAGGATACTGAGAATACTGAGACACAGAAAGATCAAGCGACTTTCTGAGGTCACATAATAAAACTGACAATACAAGGCATCAAACAGGGAAGCAATTTTGCACTAGCCTTGGCCTCAAGAGACCTGGTTTCTGTTCCTGGCTCTGCCACTGCCTTGTAATGTGATGCTGGGCACTTCACCTCTTTATTCAGCTAGTTACCTCTACTTGCAAAGCTCTGAGATCTATTGATTGAAAGCTCTAAGACTGTATGTAAACAAAAGTTCATTACTGTTGTAAACCCATGTCTTGACCACAGATTTCCTTCCACATTACACTGGCTGCTGATAGACATGAACAAAACCAAAACAAAACACAAGCAGTGCTTTAGCAGAAAAGGAAGCGCATTAGTTCAACCTGGATCCCCAGTGTCTGTGTAGATTGCACACTTCAGCAGGGCTTTTTCACACTTTTATCTAATAGCTGATTCAACCAAAGGATTCAATCAGTTATTAGACAAAAGCACCAAAAAGTCTCACTGAAACACGCAATCTATACAGACATTGGGCGAGCTGTGTAAAACAAACACGATGCCTCTTTTGGGCATGCACTGCACTTGGCGCGGGGACATACCAAGCTTAAAGTAAAGCACTGTTTTGTTTTGTTTTGTTTTGTTTTGTTTTGTTGGGGGGGGGGTCCACATGTGTAAGCAGCCATTATTAAAAGTAGTCAGGAAAGCTGGGTATGTTGTTCTTGGGGCTAATAAAGTTTAGGCAAAAGGTTAAGCAGGGCTATATACTTAATGTTTCCATATGATAACAGAAGGAGGTTGAGTGTAAAACTAGGTGTCTGATTCTTAACTAACTGCCAAATATTTTCTTCCTTTGTAACGAAGTCACAGTGCTTATATTTCTGAAAAAACAAATCATTCCAACTGTTAATTGGCATTAATTCGAAAGGAAGGAAAAGTTCCAGCAGTAGTCATAATTAACTAAATGCTGAATACAAAAATCAATAGGACTCAGTGAAAGTCAAATGGACTATTCATGCATAAAGAAAAGCACCAATGTAATTCTTTGCTGGATTAGAGCCATGTAATATCACCGAAGATAACTGCTCTTACTGGGGGGGAGGGGGTTTCAGTATCCATTAGATGTCTACATTACTGCTTATCTAAAATCTTATCATTTTTACTGTGATTGAAGGCTGAGAAAGGAAAGCCATTTTAAAATAAATCATTTAAAAATCAGTAAGATCCAACTGCTTTTACTCCCTGGAAGAATATTTGATATAGAACAAAAGCACTTTACTTAGTGCAACTGTTACAACTTTTTACTTGGCTGCCATCCAGACTGGCACATTAAACTAATTCAAGAAACATTCTTTACCTAACACTGCAAAAGCAAATTTTTAATTTCCTTTTTTAATCATCAGAAAGGTGACTTTACATTGAGTTTAGATTCTATCAGGGACATAAGGGAAAACATACACATTTTTCCCTGTTGTTTTACTTTAAAAGATTTTTCCTTTACATAATGCTAAAAGAACCTAAAACAATTAAAAAACACCCAACACCAACACAATTTATCTCCAAGATGCAAGTGGGCGGCAGTGAATAACATGCAGTAAAACTGCATGACAGCTTAGGTTAGAAAATAAAGACAATGACTGTGTTCTGTTGAGAGAGGTTGTTAGTCATGTTAAGCTACCCTGCATTTTGTTGAAACATAAAAAAGAATTAGGGCAAATGGAATGCAGGTACCCAGACTGAAATTCAGCCAAGATACTGGAGCTAACACCATTTAATCCTCTGAAAAGCAATAATATCCTTAATGGCCACAGGAGGTCAGTAACTCAGCTTTACAGCTCAGAAATGTTGCTTGTAGCATAACCTTATAGTATTTTCTAGTACTGGTTTTGTACTAGGTAAGGTAAAAGCTTGAAACCTTCAGTTTTATGGCTTCCACTTTTGTATACTTGGAGCTATTCCACCCCAAAATAGTGATAAAGCACAGCATACTTAAATTTACATGATCAGACAATACTTCATTCTGAACAGGCAATATTAATATATATAAAGAAACTAGTCTGAATTCAATTAAAAAGTGTTTTATTTAAAAATGAAAACAATGCCTCACTATAAACAAACACCAGCATGCGCTAGCAACAAGGATTTCTAGTCAAAGCCTGTACTGAAGATTTGAAATCTCTCTTTAGCAAAACACCGCTCTTGGCTAAGTTAGGCACACTATTAAATCAGTGATCTATGCAGGAATCCCCCCCCCCATCTTATCTTAACAGCTCATCTGCCTGTTACGTAATGTCTAATGCTTGCTGTATGACAAAATATAAAACTCAGGTTACAAATACTGAACTAAAGAATGGGACATACACACTCATTAATCTTTAACTGCTAAATCTGCAATTTTAATTCAATTTTGATTAGTAACATATGGAAGCTATCTTAATCAGATGGCTGTCCAGTAATTTGAGTGAATTACACATTACATTCATGCTATGATTAAGATGTAACCATTAACCCTGACACAAAGTCAAGTTTATTTATGGTGTGATAATATAGCAAAAAAGCAACAAAGTTATTCCACATGTACTCTGCAACATCTTTCTGGGTTATTGGTATCACACTTTAAATTGAATGTGCAACATGCTGGGGCTGTCCCATGACAGCTGAATATAAAGATCCAGCATGGTGTAGTTTCAGGGTCCAGGACACAACTGTCCTCTACCCGATCTGTGGGATCAGGCTGAGGCACCGTTGGGTCCTGGACCCAGTACACCTGCCCAATCCCTGCAGACAAATTTTGGGGATGGGGATGGAGTTGGGGGGGGGGGGGGGGGGG